TTCGTACAGAATTGCTTATCATCGGAACTGTTGCTTCTTCATCGAAATGAGCAAACAGGCGAAGAAAAAAGTTTTAGGCGCTTTGGTTTGCTGTTTGCTTTTCGGTTTTTGTCTGTCTGACTTGCCTCATTTGAACCCGACGAACCTTGTTCCATTCGCTTTTACTTTTTTCCCCTACACATATTTTTTAAAACACTTTTTTGTTTCGAATTGTTTCCTATTTTCTTTGCTCTCTGCAGTTGTTGTTGTTTTTCTGGTTGTGCGTGACATATTTGTGTGAGCATTTGAGCATTTGACTCTTCGCTTTTCCCCTTTGGGGCAACCATTTGTTTGCCCGAATACTTGACTCGGATTTGTTGCCTGGCACTCTATTTTTTCATTTCAGGCATGGCAGCTTGCCTATCAGGGATGGCAGAGGATGCTCGGGGATTATCATTCAGAGGAATCGATGAGGTAGGCCTACCATTGGAGCCTTTTGACTTCCATTCAAATGGGAAAAAAGATTTAGGGGTGTTGAATCAATCGCAATAAATAAGGGAAGTGTCTGAAGAGTCGTCTCATAAAATAATAGGTTATTTATTTAAAAGGGGAGTTGATAAACATTTTGGGTTTGGTTTAGTACAAACTAATATGTCATAAAACTTGATTGATGATGAAAGCAACTAGAGGTAAAAACAATTTGCAATTAATTGTTAAAGATAATTTTCCATTTAAAAAGGGCTTAATTTATTTACACGAGTAAAGGTAAATATAATAATAAATATAATATATGCTTTGTAGTTTATCAACAAAATATTCTTATCAGCATTTAAATAAACTAGAACATTTTTTGTTTATACCTTTAGAGTAAATTTATTTCGTAATTAAACTAATCTTTTTCAGACTTTCACAGGCTGTAGGCTTCTCCCAAAAAACTGCACATTTGAGGGAAGATAAAAGCAGATTCCGGATGGAGGCTTAAAGTCATCACTCATCGTTCTCATCGCCGCTTGCACTGAATTCGCAGCTGCTGTCGCTGTTGTTGCACCCGAGAACGAGAAAATCCCCCAATGAATAGCAAGTTGCAAACTGCATTTGAATTGCAAACCCAAGACCCTTTTACCCGCTTCCCCTTCCTCCGTCATGAAGCGACTACCCACATTAGTTTAGCATATGTTTTACATAACTGAGAGTCGGAACCGGAGGCTGGGAATACGACTCTTCCCCAAAGCTGAACTGAATCCTCGGATTATGCTCCACTTCTGGCTGTCTGAACTTTCGGTTTTTTCCTTTTTTCAGTTTCATTTGTACTATTTTATTATGTGGGGCTTTGTTCACAAAACACTGATGTGGTAACGTTATCAAATATCAATACATTTTGTATATTTCAGCGTATATACTAGCGTTTAAGAAAAATCTATATAAGATGAAAACTTTACTTAGTTCATGAAAGAAACCCTTCTTTTTTATGCAAATACCATTGAACTTAGATCTTTTCATTCATTAAAATACTAATATTATTTAACTTGCGAATTTTCAAATATTATTGGAATGCTCTTCATAGAACGACTTATTAAAATGCAATACTTCGTTGATTTTGGTAATTATTTTATTATTAGTTCAGTGTAGCAGTTCAGTTGGGCACTTCCTGTTTGTCCTATCGCCAATCCACACTACATCTTTCGGATCGGAATTCTAGTTTCGTTGCTGCTTCGACGGAATCAAAGATTGAACGTTTTGGGGGTCCACGAAATGTACGCAGCTCAACAACAAAATTTATTGAAATGGCAAAAGGAAGACCTTGATCTTTAGATTATCACGTCAATAAATGGTTTTCGTTTTTTATTTCTTTTATATTTTTTTTGTCGCAGTCGTTTCGCCGCTGATTCTTTTTTTTTTTTTTTTGTTTTATTTGGCGGCGTCTTCAGCATCTTGTCTTCAGCTTCTTGTTGTTCTTGTTCTTTTTGACGTGAAAGAGGCGAAAACGAAACCGAAATCGAAATGAAACGGAAACTTGTGGAACCAGTCGAGCAGCAGATACAAAACAAAAAAAAAAAACTAAAAAACCACATAAAACCAAACCCACTGAACTGACCAGACCAAAAGAACTTCTTCGGCTAATTAAGAGTTTTTGGTTAGCGCCAGCCAACTCGTATTTGTAGATCTCGAAGCCGAAGATCTCGGGCCATTAATTTAAATGCAACTCTATTAAGAGAGTCTTTCTGCATGAAGTCACAGCTTCGACTTGAAGATTGCTGACTGCCGCGAATGTGTATTCCACAAATGACGCTTACGTGATTACATAAAGACCTATAAAAAGTGATTTGAACTTGAAATCGCTAAATGCGTCATGCAATTGAAACAAATACACGACAGGCAGAAACAAAAAAAAAAAACAAAAAGCGGCGCTTGTTAACAAAAAAAAAGCAGAAAAAAAAGAGACTAGAGAAAATCACTGAAATCTGTGGAAATAAAAACGTACTAGCCATAAAATTGTTACAATGACAACGGACAGGCAATGGCTAAAACAACGGCAACAACAGCGCAGTTTTGCCAGTAGATCAAATTGAATAACTGCTTTAGCTTTTAGCCAGAGCAACAGCAACAACAACAACAGCAGCAACAACAAAAACAGCAGCAACTATATAACAAGAAGATCAACAAAAGCTGGCAAAGTCGAAAAGAGCGCATCAATTAGGCTTAAAGCCGAGTACATATATATGCCTCTCTCTATATAGTCTATACTATATAGTATAGCACTCGTGTTCTTGCCGATGTCGCTGCAATTGCTGCTGCTGTTGCTGCTGCTGCTGCCATTTGCTGTTGCTGTTAAAACGACAATTGCTGCTGTCGCAACAGATGTTGCTGCTGTTTTTTGCCGGCGGTACTGATGTTCTTCTGCACTTGTGGCTTTTTGCCGCTGCTAATTTTGCTTTTGCTCCGACCGATATTGTTTTTGCCAAAGCCAAAGGCCCTCGTGTTGCTGCTGTGGCTTTTGCTGTTGCTACTTGGCTCTTGGTGTTGCAGATGTCACTTACTTGCCTCTTGGTGTTGCAGTCTCATTAAAGTTGGTTTTGTTGGTGGTTAAAGTCTTGCTGCTGCAACTTTAAATGATTTGGTAGCTCAAGGGTTTCGATTTTATTGTAATCATACTTACAAACATTTGAATATATTTGAGTATAATAATTGAACAGCTTGGAGTTTGTTTTGTTTATTTTATTTGTATTATTATTAAATTTTTTGTTTTACGGTTTTGTTTTTTATTGATAGGGTTAAATGTTCGTACAAAAATGTTTATGATTTTAAGCTTATGCACCAAATTCACATGTTCCTTTGGTTTTAATATTAAATATTTAATATTAAAGCTTAAACTTTAAGTTTTAAATGTTTGTAATTGAAATTTACTATTGAAAACGAAACAAATTTTGTTATTTTTTATTTACAATGCTTAAAATTTTATTGGGAGACAAATGATTCATTTTATCTTTAAATCCTGTAACTATAAATGCATACATTTTTATTGGATTGCTGGTCATTAGACTGCCTTACTGAAATTTAAAATCTGTGAAGCTTATGCATAAGCGCACACATTACCATATGAATTGCAGAATTAATTGCCAGCTCATGTTTGTATTTATGTGCTCATGAACTTGGCTGAAACATACGAATATGAAGACCCCTTTGAGCACACTGAATTGCTCAGCTGCTCAAGTGTAAAATGTAATTGCAAGACATGTTCTATCCGACGATCTGATAACGAGCTTATGTCAGCCTCCATTCTGACTCACACACACACACACACACACACATACACAAACACACAGAGAGAGATTCCTGGCCAAGACAAATCCGACAACATTGTCAAACAAGATGGCTATCTCAAGAACGTGCAATTTGAATTTGCAAGCTAAGTGAGTTGATTTTGCCTTGGAAATGGCAAATATCAGGCAATAAGTTCTGATTTTCGGTCGAAAGATTTATGTTCTTAGTTGAGTTTCATTCAAAACTCTTAAATGCTGTTTGCTGGTTCCAAACAAATTAACTAAAAAGCCTCACAGCAATTCAATTTCGATTTCAATGGCAAACAAACGGAATGTCACTGTGGGTTAACTCAGTCGAGGAAGCCGCTTAGAGCCAAAACAAATTAGCAGCAAAATATGGCCAGACAGCAAGATGCAAATGCAAATTCAAATTCAAATTCGAAAATTGGATTGTCCGGGGCTTTCTGGCCGGGGGCCAAATGTTGTAGCCGGAAGCGAGATTCTCGTGTCCTGCGGACCCGAAATTCGCATGACAATGACAATTATCCCGGGCTAGTGACTATTATCCCCGCCCCGCCCCCTTCGAATGCTCGAGGGGACACGCCCACACAATGAGGGATAATTGTGAGTTACGCATACGCCAAGTGGACCCCAGTATGGGATTGATTTTATTGCCAACCGCCTGGAGCCCAGTGCCCAGAGCCCAGAGCCAAAGCCAATTTGAGCCTGGCCCGAGCAATTTGGCAGAAGGAAGCCAAACAGGCGAGCCGAAAAAAAAAAAGAAAAAAATGTGAAATGAAAATGGGCAGAGACACACACTTTTCGGGGATCCATAGAAATTTCCAAGTTTCCTTTTTTTCCAGCAGGAGGAATCCCCTTCGGTAAATTGAATTGAAGCGTCGCCGGGATGGGAAAGGCATCAATTCAATAACAGGAGGCCGTCTGCTCTCCATATGTGTCTATCAGCGTACACAGAGAAAAAATATGTTAAAAAATTGGCATGAGGAATATTTGAATTAATATTCATAAGGTGGGGTTTAAATGCAAAGATGTTGGTATTTGCAACAATAATAAATTAAAAGCAAATTATATTGAAAGAATGTTTTAACATTCGAATTATATTTTTTGAATAAGTAGATATTTTAAAAATATTTTTTAGATGCTGAGCTTATAATAGCCCTTAATGGGGAATATCTTTATGGAAAAATATAATAATTGTCTATTCTTTATACCAGGACATAAAAATACAATAAAGATCGCTTTAATTCCATAGATATACATATATTTATTAACTTATTTGCAGTTATTTTTTCAAGTGCACATGTATTTGTGTTTCGGGAACAAGGACACGGGAATCAGCACAATTGGGTTCCTTGAAGGACCAGTCGCAATCAGTCGACTGAAACTGTCGTTGGTAATTGATTTCGGCTGGGCCGGCCCTAATTAATTAAGTTATACGATTTCCTCGCCATCGCTGCAGCTCCCCCGCCTTTGATTATGTTGTAATAATTGACGATAGTTATGCAATTAATTCGTGCTGTCATCGCCATCTCCGTCTACATCTCCATCTCCATCTTCATCAGCATCAGCATCAGCATCAGCATCAAACACGATCCCAAACTATGTTGGTGGGAACATTATATCTTCCCGGTCGCCGTTTATGGTGGTACTTCAAGAGGTACCACTCGAAGCAAAAGGCATCCGCCTTGAGAAACTCTAGTTTGTCCGAGGGAAAATTAATCTGTTCCAGGAATATAAGCGCCTTGTTTAGTGGCTCTTCCAAAGGAGTTCGAGTGCGGGTTAAAATGCGCAGCTTAACTGGAATTTGTATTAAAAGTATGTTTAAATGCAACACTTCAAATGTATTTTAAAGTTTTAGAGTACGTACTACGGTGCAACATAGTTTTGGCGTCATATTTGCAAGAATAGGTGATACAAATCATTTTATAGTCAGTATATAAGATATTTTTCTTGAAAAAATCTATATAACGAGTAATAATGAAAATTTTGAGAAATTTTACTAAAATAAGAGATGGTACTTACTATCATTTTCAACATTGTGAGAGATACAACGACGCTGGTAAGTTGGTATATCCAAAGGAGTTGTAATATAGGCAAACCAAATTCCTAATAACTGATTGGAAGCAAAAGTTAAGACAAATCTTGTTAGGGCACTAACTTTATTTCTTACTTGTGTCTTGTTCACATTATCCATGGTCTTTATATTGGGGCACTTTTTTACGTCAAATGAAGACGTCATTGATTTCTTTCGATCTTTTCGTATATCCCAAAGTGATTTCCCTCTAGTTATAGTTCCAAAATGCGAAAGATTCAGTGATAAGCTTAGACAAAGCAACTGCATAAGCAACATCTTTGATTTATATAATTACTTTCTGTAGAGTTTTTTTTTGCTCAGTCAACTGTGACACACTTAAAATGAAAACTTTAAGGCCTTATCAATATAGGCTGGCTAATGAATTCGCTGTGGTCTTTTAAAGCGTCTGCTTGGATTCTCGTTGTTGTCAAAGTTTACGTGCTGCATCCACCAAAAGTTTTGGTTTTATTTGTTCAATTTATTTGACTTTTGTTGAGTATTGTTATTTGCGCGGGAATTGCATAACGAATGACGCGCCGGCGATATTTTTGTTTTCGCCTCTTTTCACATGTACATATTCCATCACGGAAACGTGCAACGGATTCGGAATCGGAATCGGAAACGGGGCACGGACATTCGCAATTACACTCCGCCGTTGTCCGTCGATATTAACTTGGTCCGTGCAATTTCAGTTCTGTTCGGTTCAGTTCTGTTCTGTTCCGACGATTTACATCTGCATCTGCCTCGGTTTCTGCAACTGCTGCTGCTGATGCGATTATGTCATCGCCATTTGGTTCACTGATTCGACAAGGTTCCAACGTGTCTTGTTCTCGAGTCGTGAATAATTATTTTAGTCAACATGATCCCGTCGTTGGGATCAGCCTCCTCACTTTGGATGCTCATCCTGCTGCTTCTGGTGGCACTTTCTGCTGTGTCCTCGAATTGCTGCACTTGTCCATCCACCCGCTGCAGCATTCCCCAGTGGCCTTGTTGCAACAAGAAGTCCAAGTGGTGGAACTCGGTTTTCGGCTAGGAATAAAAATCAATAATCAGCAAAATAACTAGTGGTTAGTACTTAATTACTTAGTGCTAAGAAATGTGCCAAAATACCAAAGGGCAGAATATTTCTTGTTAAAAAAACAAGTTCAAAATGGGCAAGAATGAATTATAACTTATAAATTAAATTATTTGCTTAAAATAAATCTATACTAATATTATAAAGAGGTAACATTTGTTTGTTTGTTTGTTTGTTTGTTTGTTTGTTTGTTTGTTTGCAGGGAATAGGCTGCTGAACTACTGGTCCGATTTAAAAAATTCTTTCACCGATAGAAAGCTATATTATCGTGGAGTTAAATAGGCTATAATTTATTTTGAAAAAAATTAGGGATCCGTAAGAAAATTGCAATATTGTCGCATATAAAGTGAGTTGCTACCTCATCACACTGACAAACACGCTCCCTTAGCATTTTAACTCAATTTTTGTGTTCACTGTGAAATTGTTAAAAAAAAAAAGAATTTTTATTCAATTTAAGTTGAACTGTGAAAATTATGTGGATCGTGCATTTGAGGATAAATTCACCACTCTGTCCATAGTCCGAAATGCTTAGAGGACGACGTGCAAACATTGGCCGCAGACATCCAAGCCAGCAACAAGTATATTCACAAAACTTAAGCGAAGAAAGACAAATGAGCGCATGGAGATCATTGGCATCATTCAATCGCTTGGCATTCCAATATAACCCACTGCGAACTACAGTGATAATGAAAATTTAGATATTGGACCAATGGCGACTATATACCGATATTGCAGTGCGTTAATATATTTGAAAAGTTTAAAAGAGAAACGGCTGGATTGTGCTGCGCAAGTGGAGAAGTCATTCTGGAAAAGTGTTAAATAACCATCTTTCTATACTTCCCCATATATTTGAAAAATGTTGCAACATTGACTTTTATGTTGTTAAATTGTGTTGGCCAGCGAAGCGGACACAGGCCCTCTAGTATAGAATAAAAAGCAATTAGACTTGATTGTAACAAGACCCAATGATAATAAAATAATATTTATATAGGGGAGACCGGGGGGTTTTGAGACGGGTTTTGTTTTTTGACAAAAAATATAATAGAAAAGCCATTTTTCTGCCCGTACAAATTTTTTAATCATAGTTCAGTGTAATTTCACTCAGACAAAAGTATAATTAGTTGAAATTTTAGTTCGACCTTCAAGTTTTGCAAGCCTGCTCAAAAGTTGTTTTTTATGGATTTTCGCAATGTTCGGGGGTTGTGAGACACAAATTTATAAGAATGAAAATGGCTTAATTTTATCAAAATTTTTTATTTAAATCTTTAATAATTATATATATACATATATATTATATATATTATATGATCTACCAACGGACCGTAGCGGCTTTTTCTCGATAGCAACCTCTTTTATAGCAGCCACAAAAACATTGTCATCAATCGCAGATTTGGCAGTCTGACTATACTTATGACGCACCATGATGACTAAAGAAAGAAAAAACGATCATCAAAAACACTGAATCCATCAAAAATATCAAAATTATCATCAAACGTTTTGGTTGTGTACAGAAACACTATATCAGGCTATAAAATACAATTTTATGTTCCTAGATGACGCGGTAATAGAATGTCTCATAACCCCCCGAGAACGTTGTCTCACGACCCCCCAATAGCTATATTTTAAATATGGCTTCTGCTTAATGGACGCATTAAATGTTTATGCAAAATTTGTTCCGGGTGTCAAAAGGCTACTCACCAAGGAATGTTTCGGATGTATGCACTCTCGCAAATAGCTTGTAAAACAAAGCGAAAAGACAGCAAAAACGAACGGTCTACAAAACTTTCGACCACAAAATTGGAGTTGCCATTTGGGAAGACATAAAGAATCGGCATGAGCGGAATATTTGTGATGTGGAAATGAAGATTGGAAACAAGCAAGAAGTTTCACAGTCAGCTGGTAGATGTCGCGCTTTTTAGTTCAGGGCTGTAAGCGCGTCTCACGACCCCCCGTGTCTCACGACCCCCCGGTCTCCCCTACCTATTCTCACAAAATTAAACGCTTTAACAACAACAAAAAATCTTGAGGCTAATCTATCTTTATTTTATTAGGAGTTCCTAATTTCGTTTTAAATATCGTTGAACACCAAAAAACCTCTTTAAATCTACTCAGATTACAAGGCGGCAAAATGTTTTCTTTCAGGCATGGCTGCTCCACTTTTAAGGGCATTAAACAGCATAATTTATTTATTTTCAATTAAAATCTGTTCAGAGTCTCCGCCTCCTGCCGCCAAATTTCTGCGCTTCTGGGGAAAAGCTTTTATTTTTGGTCAATTTTGCGCAACAATTATGTGAACCCACGAACTTTGGCCCCGGCTTTTCCGAACCCCCCCTCTTTGCCATCGAACTTGACTGCTCGACAACGTCAAATGATTTATTCAATTTGTGCTATGAAGCGTAAACTTTTTGTTTGCTCGTCGGCTGCGGAAGTTCGCTGTGTGAATCAATCGCGGGAGTCGCGGATCCTCTTTCCCCCAGCGATTTTCCCCGCGATTTAAATAGTTTTTCCACATGACAATGGACGGGATATTTCCCGGAGCCCAGGAGGTCGAACGGGATTTGAATATTTAACCTGATGCTGTGCATTGCTGCGGTTAATAAAGATAGCGAACATCGCCAGATATATTTAGTTGTTCGCTGTCATATATTTTCCTCTTCGCTGGCCAATTACTAAGCCAATCGTTTTGGTTTATAATGCCCAGAAAGAAAATACTAAACATTATTGCTCTTGCAGCTTCATTTGTTTATGACTGGTTTTCGGTTTTCTGCTCCTTCGGAACCTTTTATTTAACGACAGTTGGGCGAAAAAGTTTTCTTTTTACAGCGATATTAAGTTAATTACTTGGCAACTCGGACGGGTGTTTATGGAATGCCAGGCTGCAGACCCATAATTAATGAGCATTTAGTGGGCCACACCTCGAGGCGCTCTTCAATGATGTTGTCAAGAAGCGTGAGCTGTTAAAAAGTATATTTCATATTTGATTTTTACGATGCATTTCGCACGCCCCTCAATTGAAGGGCGAACGTGCCCGCCACTCGATGATTTCACCGCACTTCGATAGCCTTCGGTGGAGGAAAAGAGCGCGGAGACTTGGACGCTGCCAAGAAGTGAAACCGTAATTGCTGAGGAGTCCCGGAATCACTTGAGTTATGGCCAAGAGCTTATGGCTTTAGGGGATCGAACGGGCTAATTTGATGACGAGATAAGGCGGCGAGATTAAGCTGATACAGAAATTAAGGTATTCGCATTAACGAAGGGAGATAGATTACCTGATAAGTTCCAGATCCTTTTTTTGGGAACAAATTTAACTAGGTTATAAATTAATGATTTGATTACTAATTAAAGCATATGCCAGCGTGTTGCATCAAAAGGAGCTATATTATTTCTTACTTAATGGCTAGTTTTATTTTTTAGAGATTATACAATATGAATGAAAGGGGGAGTTGCAGGCAGCTTCAAACAAATTCAACTAGATTTTTTATTCATATTAAAAACAATAAATAAATTAAGTACAAGCCATTATGTTGCACAGTAAAATGCTGATCCTTTTTTTTGATTTAGTAATTAAAAGCCTTTTTAATGTTGATCGACATATTATTATTCCAAATGAAATGTGTCATTTTGAACAACATTTCTTGTTCAACATTAAACAGGAGATCGAAGACAGCTATCTAGCTTAATCTTGCTGCTGAATGTTGAATACGGAGTCTCAGTTTCCATTTTTCCCGAGTATATATATATCTCAGAAAAAAACACCAACTTTGCCCGGCAGACATGCGCCCGTCTGTCAAAGTATCGCAAAATGTGTTGCTCGTATAAATTTCATTTATGCCAGTTAAATTAATTACTGTCAACACATGCGAGGCGGCGGCTACACCAACAACACCACCACCACCACCAGCACCACTGGCAGCTCCACTATAGCCACTATGGCCACCGCCAAGAGGAGCAGCCAGAGCAAAAACAATTGCCAATCAGCCAGAGAAACTAAAGCAGGCCAAGCGTCCGAGCAAAAGTCCAAAAACAACGCAGGAAACTTGGACGCTGAGTGCTGCGAGATTCGAGCCGAGCGTGTTGCGAACATAAACACAAAGTCATAAAGTTTTTACACAAAAACATTTAATTTTATTGCATTTTTGGGCAGCAGCCAGACCAGAGACCCGAGACCTCAGACCCCCGATCCCCAAACCCAGACCCCCAATCCGAATGCGAAACCAGACGACGTCGTGAACAATGCACCACACTACCACCACCACCACCACCAACACCACCATCAAACCACCACTAGCACCACCCAAAAATTCGGAGGCCGCAAGGCGGGTGCTCCGATGGACGAGCATGGTCTGCTGGCCAGGCCAACTTAATTTGCCGCAAATCGAGCAAAACTGCAGCAAACAGAAGCGGAGCGAACATCGCACACAATTTTCGGCAGGACAGGCATATTATTTTAAAAACTCACAAAAAAAAAATATGTGCGGGTGAAGAAGAATAACAGAAGGAACATGTTAAGAAAAAACATTTTATTATGCTGCTGCAACTAACAGAAAAGACGAAAGATGTGTTTAATTTTAGCTTGGTAAACGTGTCAAATGGATATAAATTTAAAAAGTAATTTAAAAATGTAAGCAAATAGAATATTTAGGAGAAATGAAAGTTCTATTAAACTTATAACGAAATTCAAAAACAAAATACTATTTAAATTTTTAAGTAATTAAAGCTGTATCTTAAAAACTCAAAACATTTTTTTAAAAGGACAAATATCATAGTTTTTAATGAATTTACAAAATATGTAATTACATATTTTTGATTATGTTTTAAAAGGATCTTTTTTGTTCCTTTTATCGTGTTAAAACCGAAAGTAGTATTTAGTCACCGTAAAATGATTTAATCTGAATTTGTTCATAGCTCTTAAAACGTTTTAAAATACACTATTGTTTTTACAAGCATAGCAAAGTTATTATTCCCCTAATGGCATTCAGTATTGCATTATTCATGTCGGAAGGGGGGCGACAGCCATAAGAGTTTGCATTTGCAGTTGGTTAGATGGATGTTCTGCTATTCCGTCCGGATTGTTCCCACACGACTCGTGTGGCATGTGCGGCTGACGTCAGCAGCTTTTGTGGAAGTCTCGCCCAGAACGCAACACAATGTCG